ATATTGGTTGGTGGACTGTTGCTGGCATGGAGATATTGCAGCAACAGTTAACTGTCAGTCATGGTTCTCCGATTAGAGAGATGGACTCTGATTGGTCAGGGTGTTGCTATTGGGAATGCAGCGGTTGTTGGCAGTCATGTGACCCTCTTTACTCCAATGAGGAGGGTGCTGTACAAGTACTATTGCTTTTCCCCTCCTGTGTGTTGATATATGGAACTTTTATCTAATACTCTCTCTCACACGCAGATAGTAAGAACTGCCGATGCTGGAGTCTGGGATAACACCGTGTGGAGCTGGATGAGCACAGCAGGCCAAGCAGCATCAGTTACCCTCCTCCCTCCGGAAAGACCTCAGTGGATCTCTCTCCCACCGCAACTCTCTCGTAATCTCTTCGGCCATTTTCTGAAGAAGGGTCTAGGCCCGAAACGTCAGCTTTCCTGCTCCTCTGCTGCTTGGCCTGCTGTGTTCATCCAGCTCTACACCTTGTTATCTTGGATTCTCCAGCATCTGCAGTTCCTACTATCTCCCTCATCGAGTGTAGGTTGTCAGTCGATGGATTGGCAGATTTTCTCAGTTAACACTTTGTGATTGATTACTCCATTTCAGTGGTAAATTTGAGAATAGATGGAGCGTATTAAACTGTGTAAAGAAATTCTTTGTCAAACCAAAAAGACATTTTGCCTACTATGTAAATGAGTAACATGGTATATTAAAATCTGTGCCAGAGTGGTGCCATCTCCATAAGCCAGATGTCACAACTGACCAGTGCAACTGTATCAGACAACATGGTGAATACTGTGATGTTTTTTTCACTTTTTTTAGCCATGTTGAAGTTCTGACCTACCAAATGGTTAATCATTGAATACACTGTAAATGTTAAAATAGTTAAAAAATGTATTGGAGACAGCAATTCTGTGATACAAACTCTGCAATGCATCTGTTTGTATCATGTTAATTCCCGGAAGAAAACATTTGAATATATAAAGGACATGGTGAGACTGGGGCAGAGGCAGCCAAAGGAAAGTGTGAGAAATGTAAAATGGTGGGAGGAGAGAGGAGGTGGACGGATGATGGGAGGGAGGGTACATTGGTTACTGTTGTAAATCACTGAGAGATTCAGACAGGCAGGGAACAATTAGCTATAGAGAGATGGTGAGGGAGACAGTGGAAAGTTACCTTAAATAGCACAAAGCATCCCAAAGTGGTTTGCAGCTAATTAAAGACAGAGAAAGGCAGTGAGGTAGAGAAACAGTGGATAGGGTGATGGATGTGAGACGGGGCTAGGGGAATGAGGGAGAGGGACAGTAAAAGGAGGACAGTGTGGGACAGAGGACAGAACCATGATGTGCTTGCTCTGAAAGCTGCTGTCGAGAGGAGAATGGAGGTCTCCGTTTTACAGGCTGTTGGAACTGAGCTCTCTGTCACTAACACTCACCTGATTCTGCTACATTTTGTTTTGGCAAGGGAGTTCCAATTTCAAGTTTGGCTAGAACTGTGACAGGAATTCCAAGAAACACTGAAGAGGAATGGAAAGGGTTTATTCGGAGGAAGGATTGTCCAGCGAACCCAAACAGCCCCTCCTCTTGGCTGTTTATCAGCAGCTCATTTTAAATTGGCTGAGAGTTGGGGGAGGGAATAGGATTGTGGGGGTGTGGGGAGTGATTGTGACAGTGGAGGACGGTAGAGTTAGGCCTGTCCTGTATCACTTGCCCCACTCCTGCTGTGCCAGAGGCTTGCATTTTTACCATGTATTTCCGGGAGTTTGACAGAAACTGCTACAGCCCTGGGGCTCCGTCTTCTAGATGGAACAAGGCTGATTGTATTTACCTGAATCGGATATTATGAGGACCTCAGCCCAAAGCAGGGAGAAATGTTCTGGATTGTGCGTGCAGCTCATTCCCACATTGGACAGGCTCTGCTCCTTCTCCCTGGGGTTCCATTCCTGGACAAGGTAGTGTTCTTCACCCCAATCCTCTTTCAATTCTGAGACAGCTGCTGGGCTACTGACAGATTGTGTAGTGGGTTGGGCGTATCTGTTCGTGTGAGAGATTTATAACTGTTCCATTTCATACATCCTCATGTTATGTGCACAGATACAAATTGCAGCTTCTCAGCATGTGTATGGTCTGGCTGTGAGAGTTTTTACTGGGCCTGTTTTTGTGAGCAGAAACCTCTTCGATCCCCCTCCACCTGTGGTCATACCTGCTGTCTAGCTTGGGCACGTTCACTATGATGATGGGCTTCCTGGGCTGCATCGGAGCATTGAAGGAAGTGAAGTGCATGTTGGGGATTGTGAGTATCATTTCTGACTATCATTTCTGAGTGGCATGCTGGCTCAGTGGTTAGCACTTCTGCCTCACAGCGCCAGGGACCCAGGTTTGATTCCAGCCTCAGGTGACTGTCTGTGTGGAGTTTACACTTTCTCCCTGAGTCTGCTTGGGTTTCTTCCAGGTGCTTCGGTCTCCTCCCACAGTCCAAAGATGTGTAGGTTAGAGTGGATTGGCCATGCTAAATTGCCCATAGTGTCCAGGGATGTGCAGGCTGGGTGGGTTAGCCAAAGGGAAATTCAGTGTTACAGGGATAGGGTAAGAGGGGCTGGACTCGTTGGCCCAATGGCCTGCTTCAAGATCTGTAGAGATTCTACGATTTTGTTTTAACAAGATTAATGGAAAACTGTCACCACGGAGACCACAGGTACTCACCATCTACACTGGAACCTAAACACTGACTGAGACAGCAAGGTACAACAGCCCCATTTTGGGAACTGTGGAAGGACAAAGGGATAAAGACCATTCATAAAGATACCACTGGAGTAAAAATAATTCTTTTAAATAGAATACGCATTTAAGTGTTGGTTTATTACTATTAGAATGCAACAGTTTTAAATGTTTGTGAATTTAACCGATTCACACAGCTGTAAATAACAGATCCCAAAGCACTTGGGGAAACAGATGAGTCCTCCAACATCAGGATCACACTTTGCCCTTGATTTCGGGCAGAGTGTTGGAGCACGATTCTGGGATCTGAGTAAGAAGATCAGCATGTTTGTGAGAAGGAGCTTCTGGGAAGGATAATGAAGTCTGTAAGGAGGTGACGAGCTGGGAGGCAGGGTGAGGAACTGGGAGGCAGGGTGAAGAACGATACGGACTGTGCTGAATTCAAAGGAATGTGATCAGGAGGTGGAATCCAGAGAGTTCCGAGGTGAGTCGTATCGGGGAGATGGAAATCTACTGAGAGAAACAAAGATTAAACTGAATGGATGATTCAAACTATTTAAGTTATTGTCAGTGTTATTGAGAGAATTTCCCAGCAGTTACTTGGTGATTTTTTGTTGCGTGGAAGAGGGTTAGGTGTGGGGGGAAGACCTGTGCACTGCTAAATATAGCAACAAACACTCATTTTCAAACATCTGCTCATACAGTTGCCCAAGCTGCCAAGTCATCTTCCTCTATGAAATACAGTCTTTCTGTTCCTCAGGAAGTGACAGAGTTATCAGCAAACAGCAGTTTTCCGATAAGCAGCAGCCCCATGAGAAAGAGCTGTTTCTACCGTCCACCAATCACAGCTCAGCAAATGCTTTTGGTGATCTGTTCCCCACAAGATTTGACTTGGAGGACAATTCTGATCCAGTTCCTAGTGAATGTGAGACCACGAAGGGGAAGCTGGGATTTTACCTGAGTCTCCCTGTGGTATTCTGGGCATTAATACAGGGGACAGTGTAGAGGAAGTTTTATTCTGTGTTTAACCCTATGCCTTGGGAGTGTTTAATGGGTGCAGCGTATAGTGAGCATTACTTTCAGATCAAAAGAGTTGTGTCAGTGTCACTCTGAATCTAATTTGCCCTGGGAATGCTTTTTGTGTCTGGATTTGAAGTGTGGATGTGGAGTGTGAGGTCTGTAGTCACTGGCCCGAGTGTGTTCTGGGCTCACAGATCGAAACATTTTTTTTAGAAACGATGGGCTGTGGTTTCTATTTTAAATACTTTCATCTTGTTTACAACTTCCTTGTTCTGCTTTTTACTGAAAATTTGTCCAGAAAGTTGAAATAATAACAAACTGCTGGAGAGGCTTGACCAATCTGTGGAGAGACAGAGTGGGCTGACCTGCGGAGTTTCTCCAGCTTTCTCTGTTTGCTGGGAATGCTGGAAATTCCATAAAGCTGAAAGCTAACTGTGAGCAAGCTTCAAGGTCGGCTGTGTGATGGGTCACTGTGTTGGTTGTGATGAATGATTTTGTTTTTTTCAGTATTTCACCTTGTTGGTGTTCCTGTTGGCCTCCCAGATTACTGTCGGAGTTCTCATTTACACTCAAAGAAAATCGGTGAGTTCCAGCCAATTGAGCAGTTCGAATACTGAGCACTGGGGCAGGGGCCAGGAACTAGAGGGATGGGGAGGGGGTGATGGTAGGCAGGGACCAGAGGGGTGGGGGGGGGGGGGGGGGGGTGATGGTAGGCAGGGACGGGGGGGATGGGGATGAGGATGGTGGTGGTGATGGTAGGCAGGGACCAGAAAAGGGAGGGAGGGGGCAGGGATCAGTGAGGAAAATTGAAACCCAAAAGCTTTGTATCCAACATTTGTGTGTTTTCCCCGAAGAAAAACAAAAAATCGATTGTAGGTTCCATTCAGTGTAAAGCAGGCCATTTGACCCATTAAGTGCACACCAACCTCTGAAGAGCATCCCACACAGACCCTAGGGTTGAATGAGAGGGAGAGTCTGGGACTTTATTCACTGGAGTGGAGTGTAGGAAGTTGAGAGGTTTATAAAATCATGAGGAGTATGGGTAAGGTGAATGGCAGGTGTCTTTTCCTTAAGGTGGGGAATTTCAAGACTAGGAGGCATATTTTTAAAGTGAGTGGAGAAAGATTTAATAAAGATATGAGGGGCAATTTTTTTTTTTTACACAGTGTGGTTTGTATGTGGAATGAATCTCCAGAGGAAGTGGTGGATGTGGGTATGGTTACAACGTTTAAAAGCTATTTAGATAAGTAAATGAATAAGAAATGATTGGATGGATATGGGCCAAGCGCAGGCAGGTGGGGCTAGTTTAGTTTGGGATTATGTTCGGTGTGGACTGGTTGGACCGCCAGGTCTCTTTCAGTGCTGTATGATTCTAACTCTAAGTAGGATCATTTGACCTGAAACATCAACTTTGCTTTCTCCCTACAGATGCTGCCTGACCTGCTGAGTTTTTCCAGCAATTTCTGTTTTTAGTTTTGATTTCCAGCATCTGCTGTTCTCGGTTTGTTTTTTCATTTACTGTTTACTTTGTTCAATTGTAAACTCTCCCATTGAAAGTAAAACCCATTCCACTCAAAGAACTCTCACTTTTTTATATTTAAAAAATCACCATGGCAATGGAAATACTTACAAGTTAATCATTGAACCCCTTCAGACAGAGTTTGGATTTGAGCTGGTGGCATGTGGGGTTTGGTCTGAGATGAATGATATTAAAAGGTAGAGAAATCACATGCCTTGCATCACATGGTGACATCCTGATGCAAAACTTCCATCCTCATTTTTAAAATTCTCTATGGCTACTCCCACCACACCCTACCCTGTGCCACTCACCTTCTGAGATCTCTTCAGTCCTTCATCCCCAATTTCCATCAGCCCACGTCTTAAGTAGCCTGGGTTGGAGAATCTGGAATTATCTCCCTAAGTCTTTCTTTCATTTCAAGGTGCTCTTTTCTTAAAAAAAAAGTCATTCATGGAATAAGGACATCGCTGACCAGACAGCACTTATTGCCCATCCCTAATTGCCCAGAGTGCAGTTCAGAGTCAACCACATTGTTGTGGGTTTGGGTCACGTGTGGGCCAGACCAGGTAAGGATGGCAGTTTCCTTCCCTAAAGGACATTAGTGAACCAGGTGGGTTTTCCCCGACAATCAACAATGGATTCACGATCATCATTAGCTTCTTGATTCCAGATATTTATTGAATTCAAATTCCACCATCTGCTGTGGAGGGATTCGAACCTGGGTTATCTGGGTCTCTGGATTAACAGTCCAGTGATAATACCAGTAGGCCGTTGCCTCCCCTTAAAACGCACCACTGACCAAATTATCACTTGACCTGATATCTCCTTGTGTACTTCAGTGTCGTGTTTTGACTGGTCATGTTCCTGTGAAACACTTTTTGTGATGCTAAAGGCACCATATAAATGCAACTTGTTGTTATAGCTGTGGAATTCTGTGCTTGGAAACATGATTGGTCACTGTATTCTCTGCAGTTTGGTTTATGACTTGGTCTCTTGTTAGATCGAGAAACAGCTTGGCAACGCTGTGCAGAAGTTGATTCAAAACTATGATGAGAGTGATGAGAAACTTCAGAGCCTGGAGGAGAGTTGGGACTTCATCCAAATGCAAGTGAGTAATGAATATTTTGTGGTAGATGTAAGCTCCAGCAGCTAAGGACACTGGGAAGCTCTTTCCTTCTCAATCTCTCCCTTTGCCTGAGATGTGGAGATCCTGAGGTTAAACCACCAGCCCTCGTGTCTTTGTCTGTCTCTGTCTGTCTCTTTCTCTATTGAGAGAGCACTCCTGTTGTCCTCTGGGATAATCACAACTTTATCTTTACCTAATGTTGATGTTTAGAATCTAATGATTGTGTGAAAGGATTTGATTTTATGCAAAAGTATTTGATAAAACTACAAATTACCGTTGAACTCTAGACAAAGAACAGTACAAAATTGATAATCCTGAAATGAAAAAGGAAAATGAGTGTTTGAGGGAGTATAAAATTGGACAGATTCTCTGGCAGTGAGTTCATAAATAGCACATTGTGTTTCTCAAGTTGTAGCCTAACAGACTGCACCTTTCTTCTCTTAGGTAGGTATTTGTTATTCAGTGACTTTGTTAAAAAAGATCAAGAATTTAAACAAAGTTTCAGGTCAGCTTTAGTCAGGTTGCCCTGTTCTTAAAACCACAAATCGGCCGCAGTAAAAATAAAACCAAATAAACAGAAGAAGCCTATTATTTTTGGCACTAAATGCAAGTAACTGCCTCAGTTTCACATCCTAATTCTAATTTGGTTTAACTTGTTTTCTAATGTAACCCCGACATGGGCAATGGTTAGGTGAGCTTCATTGGCATGTTCCCAAAGTGACAGTGAATTCTGGTTAGTTCAGGAGTTTCACAGCTTGCATTCCTCTGAATTTCAAAGCAAAAAGATTGTTAGCTACGCAGCCTCAGTCTGGGAATGGAGCATTACGGCACACTCTTGCTGATCACTAACCGGAAATTTCAGACCATTTGTGAATAAGGGAGCAGCAGGTTCACATTGTCCAGGCTGGCCTCGTGGGGGAGGTCAGTGCCCAGTGTCCATTCTGGTGTCAATGGGTCAACAGCTCCATCACCTCAGCCTTCTTCCTGATGGAGCACATTTCAGGGGCAGGAGTGGTGAGAGTGCGAGCCGGGGGCAGCCAGGAAGGTAAGTTTATGTATAAAATACTTGCCTTGTGAATAGGCGGAGCGAAGGCTGAGCAGGAGCGAACGCGGACATGGGGACTGCTGGGTAAGTGAGCTAATATATTCGGGCCGTGGCTAAACCCGAAACACTACACGTGTTTCCCGCCTATCCTCCTCCTCTAACCAAAAAAAAGACTGTGTGAAGGGTTGGTAAGGTGAGCTATTTTTATTTTCCCTTTTATCTCTTGGCAATCTAGAGTAGAGGGAATGGAAGCTAGGGCAGTTGCATGCTCCTCTTGCAGGATGTGGGAGGTAAGGGTTACTGCTGGTGTCCACTCTGACTTCACCTGCGAGAAGTGCACCCAACTCCAGCTCCTCAAAAACCGCATTAGGGAACTGGAGCTGGAGCTGGATGAACTCTGGATCATTCGGGAGGCTGAGGGGGTGATAGAGAGGAGTTGTAAGGAGGTGGTCACACCCAAAGGTACAAGAAAAAGGTAGCTGGGTGACTGTCAGGAAGGGGAAAAGGGAACAGGCAGACAGTGTAGGGATCCCCTGTGGCTGTTCCCCTCAATAATAAGTATACCGTTTTGGATACTGTTGTGGGGGGATCTACCAGGGGAAGGCCACAGTGGCCAGGTCTCTAGCACTGAGCCTGGCTCTGTGGCACAGAAGGGAAGGGGGGAGAATAGGAGAGCAATAGTGATAGGAGATTCAGTGGTTAGGGGAACAGACAGGAGATTCTGTGGTACCAAGTGAGACTCCCGGATGGTATATTGCCTCCCGGATGCTTTATTGCCTCCCGGATGCCAGGGTCAGGGGTGTCTCTGATCGAGTCTACAGGATCCTTAAGGGGGAGGGTGAGCAGCCAGAAGTCGTGGTACACATCGCTACCAATGACATAGCTAGGAAAAGGGATGAGGACCTGAGAAGTGATTAAAGGGAGTTAGGTTGGGAACCAGAGCTACGGATCAGAGGATGGGGCATCTGGTGTACAGGCAGATACAGCAAGCAGAGAGCCTGTGAGGAAGGATAGACACTGATAGGGCAAAGTGACAGTCAGTGTGACAGGTTGAGGTGTCTACTTCAATGCAAGGAGTGTCAGGAATTAGGGTAACAAACTTAGAGCATGGATCAGTACTTGAAACTACGATGTTGTGGCCATTACGGACACTTGGACAACACGGGGCAGGAATGGTTGTTGGATGTTCCAGGGTTTAGATGTTTCAATAGAAATAGGGAGGGAGGTAAAAGAGGTGGGGGAATGGCATTGCTAATCAGGGATGGTATCACAGGTGTAGAAAGGGAGGTCGTGGAGGAGGATTTCTCCACTGAGTCAGTATGGGTGGAAGGCAGAAACAGGAAAGGAGCAGTCACTTTACTGGGAGTTTTCTATAGACCCCCCCCAAAGCAACAGAGACACTGAGGAACAGATTGGGAGACAGATTTTGGGAAGGTGCAGAAGTGATAGGGTTGTTGTCATGGGTGACTTCAACTTCCCTAATATAGACTGGAACCTCCTAAGTGCAAATAGTTTGGATGGAGCAGATTTTGTCAGGTGTGTCCAGGAAGGATTTCTGACTCAATATGTAGATAGGCCGACTAGAAGGGAGGCCACAGTGGATTTGGTGCTTGGCAACGAACCAGGTCAGGTGTCAGATCTCTCAGTGGGAGAGCATTTTGGTGATAGGGATCACAACTCCCTGACCTTTACTATAGCCATGGAGGGGGATAGGAGCAGATGGTATGGGAAAGTATTTAACTGGGGGAGGGGGAATTACAATGCTATTAGGCAAGAACTACAGAGCACCAATTGGGATCAGATGTTCTCAGGGAAATGAACGATAGAAATGTGAAGGTTGTTTAGGGAGCAGTTGCTACGAGTACTGGATAGGTTTGTCCCACTGAGGCATGGAAAGGATGGTAAGGTGAAGGAACCTTGGATGAGAAGACATGTTGAACACCTTGTCAAGAGGAAGAAGGAAGCTTACTTGAGGTTGAGGAAGCAAGGATCGGACAGGGCTCTAGAGGTCTACAAGATAGCCAGGAAGGAACTGAAGAATGGACGAAGGAGAGCTAGAAGGGGGTATGAAGAAGCCTTGGTGGGTAGGATTAAGGAAAACCCCAAAGCGTTCTATACTTATGTAAGGAACAAGAGGATGGCCAGAGTGAGGGTAGGACCAATCGGGGACAGTGGAGGGACCTTGTGTGCGGAGTCGGAGGAGGTAGGGGAGGTCCTTAATGAATACTTTGCTTCAGTATTCACCAGTGAGAGGGACCTTGACATTTGTGAGGACAGCATGAAACAGGCAGATATGCTCAAACTGGTTGATGTTAGGAAGGAGGATTTGCTAGAAATTTTGGTAAACATGAGGATAGATAAGTCCCCTGGGCCAGACGGGATATACCCAAGATTGCTACAGGAAGCAAGGGAAGAGATTGCTGCCCCTTTGGCGATGATTTTTGCGTCCTCTCTGTCCACTGGAGTAGTCCCAGATGATTGGAGGGTGGCAAATGTCATTCCCTTGTTCAAGAAAGGGAATAGGGATAATCCTGGGAATTACAGACAGTCTTCCTTCTGTGGTGGGCAAATTATTGGAGAGGATTCTGAGAGATAGTATTTATGATTATTTGGAAAAGCACAGTTTGATTAGAAATAGTCAGCGTGGCTTTGTGAGGGGCAGATCATGCCTCACAAGCTTTATTGAATTCTTTGAGGATGTGACAAAACACATTGAAGGCAGAGCAGTAGGTGTGGTGTATATGGATTTTAGCGAGGCATTTGATAAGGTTTCACATGGTAGGCTCATTCAGAAAGTAAGGAGGCATGGGATTCAGGGACGTCCAATAGAAGACAGAGGGTGGTAGTAGATGGAAAGTATACAGCCTGGAGCTCGGTGACCAGTGGTGTGCTGCAGGGATCTGTTCTGGGACCTCTGGTCTTTGTGATCTTTATAAATGACTTGGATGAGGAAGTGGAAGGGTGGGTTAGTAAGTTTGCCGATGACATGAAGGTTGGTGGAGTTGTGGACAGCGTGGAGGGCTGTTGTAGGTTGCAATCAGACATTGACAGGATGCAGAGCAGGGCAAAGAAGTGGCAGATGGAATTCAACCCAGAAAAGTGTGAAGTGATTCATTTTGGAACGTCAATTTGAATGCAGAATACAGGGTTAATGGTAGGATTCTCAGCAGTGTGGAGGAACAGAGGGATCTTGGTGTCCACGTCCACAGATCCCTCAAAATTGCTACCCATGTTGATAGGGTTGTAAAGAAGGCGTATGGTGTGTTGGCTTTCATTGGCAGGGGAATTGAGTTTAAGAGCAGCGAGGTTATGCTGCAGCTCTATAAAACCCTGGTTAGACTACGCTTGGAATATTGTGTTCAGTTCTGGTCGCCTCATTATAGGAAGGGTGTGAAAGCTTTAGAGAGGGTACAGAGGAGATTTACCAGGATGCTGTCTGGACTGGAGGGCAGGTCTTATGAGGAAAGGTTGAGGGAGCTAGGGCTTTTTTCATTGGAGCGAAGAAGGATGAGAGGTGACTTGATAGAGGTTTCCAAGATGAAGAGAGGCATAGATACAGTGGATAGTCAGAGACTTCTTCCCAGGGCGGAAATGGCTATTACGAGGAGGCATAATTTTCAGGTGATTGGAGGATGGTATAGGGGAGATGTTAGAGGTAGGTTCTTCACACAGAGTGGTGGGTGTGTGGAATGCGCTGCCGGCAGTGGTAGTGGAGTCAGACACATTAGGGACATTCAAGCGACTGTTGGATAGGCACATGGATGATAGTAAAATGAAGGGTGTGCAGGGTAGATTGATCTTAGTAGGATAATAGGTCGGCACAACATCATGGGCCGAAGGGCCTGTACTGTGCTGTACTGTTCTATGTTCTATGAATGTTCAGCGCCACCAGCTGGCTGTCCCCATATACTACATTCAGAATTTCCAACAATTAAAGGGGTCAATACCCTTTAATTAATTTTCATTAGGAGTTGGGATGAGTTAATATAGGCATAAGTGATGAGCACATGGCTTTTTCTTGCTTAGAACTTATCAAAGTATTCCTAGCATGCTAAAATCAGGTAAATGAATTCCTGAGTTAGAATCATACAACACAGAACAAGCTCATTTACCTCTTGGGATCTGCTGATTTTTTTTTTGTGTTTTTGTTTTAGGCCACTCCTCTTCAAATCAAATTAATTCTCTTTTGAAGCTTCTTATTGAATCTGTTCCCTTCATGCTTTCAGCTTATGCATTTGAGGTCACCATAATTCACTGTGCATAAGATTCTCCATGTCTCTCCCAGAACTCTATCATCAGACACCTTCCTTTTATGCCTTAATTACTTTTACTCATTGCATTTGGAGGAAACCTAATAACTTTTTATAATTTCCAGTTCAAACTGAGTGTATTATCCAGCTCCGATCAGGAGTCTTAGTTTGATGAAGGGAAGAGATTTTGAATTGACCAGGATTGACCAACAGAACCAACTTCCCTGCGGAACTCTGCTCCCAGTTATACTGTTTGCACATTTCACTTTGATACCGTGATATTTATCCATTAATTCTGTTTGTCCATAGTAAAATGCTACTTTCAAAGACTGTGGTAAATCTCCTGGTAAATGTTTGCATTAAACTGCCTCCCATCTTTTCCAGTTTTCTTGCTGTGGTTGGAACAACTCTCAGGAATGGATGAAAAACTCAAAAATGAAGAATAATTCTATTGAGTTGCTGAAAAACTTCACCTATCCATGCTCCTGTTATAATTCTTTTCCTCAGAATATCACCAGCTTCAACTTTACCAAACAAACTGGATTCTGTTATGCCCCCACAAACCCATTCAGAGTTCCCTTGAAGGTAACTTCTCATCTGTTTCATTGTTTGTCTGACTTGCCTTTGGCTCTCAGCTGGATATAGTTTGAAACTTGCACAGTCATTGGCCCAGCTTTGGGTCCAGGCAGCAGGGACAGAGCGGCCCAGTCACTCCTGAGCTCATGGAACTGACCAGAAGGGGTTTAGTTTAACAGTTATTCCCTGCTTGATGTATGTGGGATACAGACCAAGAACGTGATGCTTCTGTTACTGACTCTAGTTCTCATTGTTTCCCCAGAGCTGTAGGAGTAACGTGTTCGAATGGATGCGGGAAAATATTATGAGCATCATGATTGTCTCAATTGGTGTGAGTTTAGTGGAGGTGAGTCATTGGGGAATGTGAAAATCCCAAGTTTGATTGCATAGTAGCACCAAGACTGCTGTCAGACCCACTGTCACATTCACAACTTTTAGTGGAATCTGACCCTTTTTTTATTGTTTTGAGAAATTAAAACAGGAAGATGGTAGTGGAGTTGGGATGACTGGTGTGGTTTGGAAGGTACACACAGAGATTGGGAGAGATTGCTTAAAAAAACCCATTATGTTTAGTTCCTGCAGCTGCTGTGTCTCATTCTCCACTGTATCTGGTCCCGGACTCCTGGTCAGACACAGAGCGCGGCTCCCTCTCCTGATCTCCTGACTGTTCCTGCCAGGTGCCTGTGCTGTGACCCTCTGATTGTGTTTGCAGTGGTGTGAATGTTTCAGAACCAGCCTTGTTTGAGCTGGGAGTGAATGTCACCTCGTTGCAGGGTCTAAGAGACTGGCGATGTTTTGGTTGCAGGTGGCTGCAAGGAAATGAGCTTGGACAGACTGACCGACTGACTGCTTTTGTTCACATTGAACATATAAACAAATCCTCAGGCTGTGAGGATGGGAGGCAGATGGAGGTGAAGGTTCATAGAGGAAACCAAAATCCTGGTCAAAGAGATGGGTGTTGGGAAATGAATGAGAAAATAATTTGGGGAGGAAATTTAAGGAACCGATTAAATTATGGAAACAGCCCAGTATACCCTAACCTGGGACACCTGGAGAAAACCCCCCAACATTATCCGAGTGGAGATGCCATCCAGCAATGCAGGGCACATTGGTTACTGGGTAAAATACAAAGCCAAGCCTAAGGAAACAGACCCTTCAGTCCTACCAGTTATGCCAACCATGGTCCCAAACTAGAGAGACAAACAGGAGGCTGCAAGAACATCTGGAGAAAAGTAATACCCGAAATGATGACTGCTCCTTTCCTTCAGATGCTGCCTGGCCTGATGTGTTCTTCCAGCCTCCTGTTTGTTTCCCTTGGATTCCAGCATCTGCAATGTTTTTGTCTCTAACCATGTTCCCAAGCTAAACTGGCTCCACCTGCCTGTGTTTGGTTCACATCCCTCCAAACATTTCCTATTTGTGAACTTATCTAAATGTCTTTTAAACATTGTAACTGTGCCCACATCCACACTTCCTCAGGAAATTCATTCCACGTACAAACCACACTCTTGTTTAAAAGAAAAGTTTATCCCTTGTCCTTTAACATGCCCCCTACTTTTGAAATCCCCCACCCTAGGGAAAAGACACCTTCCATTTACCTTATCTGTGCCCCTCATGATTTTATAAACCTCGATAAGACCACCCCTTAACCTGCTACACTGCTGTGAAAAAAGTCCCTGCCTAACCAGCCTCTCCAGAAGAGGCCTCACCAATGTCTTGTACAACCTCAACATGATGTCCCAATACCTATACTCAAAGATCTGAGTAGTGAAGGCAAGCATGCTAAATGCCCCCTTAACCACCCTGTTTACCTGTGGCACGAATTTCAAAGTATTATGTACTTGAACCCATAGGTGTCTCTGTTCTACAACACTACCCAGGTTCGGTCAAACCGAGGGGAAAACACTTTATTCTTGGCACTGCTGGGGGAAGCTGGGAATGAGCTTGGTCATAGTGGTCATGTGAACAAGCATGTGGGCTGTATGTGAGCATGCCTTGCATGGTGTTGGGAGCAGGTTAATTTGTTTGTAAAAGATCCTGCTCCCCCATAATGAAAGTTGCTGATAATTTAACAGCATTAATAGTGACTTTGGGTAAAATGACTGGCAACATTGAACTGAATTAATCCAACTAACTTTGGTTTTGGTTGCATTTTTGCTCCCAGAGATTTCCACATTGAATATTGGCAAGGTAATTACCTCATGTGTGAATTTCTTTGTGCACAACCTCATTTCTGTACCTTAACTATCACTGATCCTATTTGAAAATGTTACTATTAATATGATTTGCTTAATTCATTCAGCAGGAATGTCAACTTTGTGTTTGACCTAGTCAGGGTCGGTGTGTATTGGACCCCTTACAGACCCCGCTCCCTAGCGTGTGTGTGTGAGAATGTGTGAGAGAGAGAGCCTTGTTTGCCAGTGAGAGTCCGTCTATCTGTGTGAAACTTCTTCCCCAGTGAAGACTCTGTGTGTGGGGGGCTGGGGATCTTGTATCCCAGTGTGAGGCCAGCACCTTCAGGAAAGAAAAATATTGTATAAGCACAAATTAATATAGATTAAATTGAAGATTAGCAATAAGTAGGGAATTGACAGGAGGTCTACAGAAATAAAATTTTGTGCAGATGGTTTTGTCTATGATGTGCTTTCCCTTTGAACTATTTTTCAATGCCATTTCCTTTCCTGCCTCATTTCTAGTTTGGGCTCCTTGTATTCTCCTTCGTCCTGTGTTTACAACAGTTTCATCCCAGTACTGGAATCAGGCAGCCTCAGAGTTTTGGACTATCTGCAAATCCTTCCAGCATTACAGTACATGTGCAGGAAACGCCAGAGAGAACAGAGGAAACACCTGAATTATTCACTGAAGCAGCTCAGTCTCAGGGACAAGGAGAGAGAACAGAGTCAACAGCTGAATTATTCATTGAAGCAGCTCAGTCTCAGGGACAAGGAGAGAGAACAGAGGAAACAGCTGAATTATTCACTGAAGCAGCTCAGTCTCAGGGACAAGGAGAGAGAACAGAGTCAACACCTGAACTATTCACTGAAGCAGCTCAGTCTCAGGGACAATGATAGTTGTTTGTTCTTTATTACCAAATGGGCAGAACAGTGGATTCTTACAACATTGAGAGAATGTTTTTTGAAACAGTTGAACTGTATTTTACTGAATAAAAAGTGAGAAATTGCAGAAAGATGTAGGTGTAGTTGTATTGTGCATGTCATTGGGAGGGCAAGACAATTGCAATACAAAGTTACAGGTGTCAGCTACAGAAGGTTCATCAATCAATGTCTAACATTGCAGGGCAGCATTTAGCCTGAGGGTTTTTGATCGTTGGTTTATGTTGGTGTTCCTGCCCTGTTTGGGGAGGGGGTCAGATTGATCCTATCTCCCCAAGGAACTGAGATGAGCAGTTGGGAGAATGGGTTGAAAAATTCTCTGGAATAAGTGCTACGATATTCTCAGTTTACACCTACAGGTACTGCTTGAGTGAGTAGGACCAAGCTGAAAATGAATCCTGGCGAGGATCAGGAGTGGGAGGACTGGGTTACCATCACTCATTCAGAAATGGTCATCACATTTCTGGTTGGTGTATTCCCTCTAACTAGAAGAACTATTCTGAATTTCCACTTGAACAAATGGGGCAGAATGGAGCTATGTCCTAGAAGCATTCTTCACTTCCAAGGGTGATGGTGGACATGGAGAATGACCATCTGTATGTAGCTGCTACCTGTCTCAGTGTTCAGGACAGGATTGCAAATGGGAATGGTGCTGAATGTCACCCTCTGGTGTCTGTACAGAGTAGTTCTCTCTCTGTTAGTTTGTAATGTCTCTATTGGGCAGTGTGAAACCAAAATATTCACGTTGACTTTCTTTTCCCTACAGCTCTTTGCAATGACGTTATCGATGTTATTGTGTAGGAATATCGACCCAGATTACGACAAGCTCATTCGCTTTCAGTAACAGCAAGGCTGCTGAGCCAGTCTGGAACAAAGCAAAACCAGTGTCTTTTATTGAATCAGAGATAGTAGGAACTGCAGATGCTGGAGAATCCGAGACAACAAGGTGCAGGGCTGGATGAACACAACAGGCCAAGCAGCATCATAGGAGCAGAGAGGCTGACGTTTCGGGCCTAGACCCTTCATCAGAAAAGGGGGAGGGGAAGGGGGTTCTGAAATAAATAGGGAGAGAGTGGGAGGCGGATAGAAGAGGGATAGAGGAGAGGACCTGCACATCTGCCAATGTGGTATACTGCATCCGCTGTACCCGGTGTGGCTTCCTCTACATTGGGGAAACCAAGCGGAGGCTCGGGGACCGCTTTGCAGAACACCTACGCTCGGTTCGCAATAAACAACTGCACCTCCCAGTCGCGAACCATTTCAACTCCCCCTCCCATTCCTCAGACGACATGTCCATCCTGGGCCTCCTGCAGTGCCACAACGATGCCACCCGAAGGTTGCAGGAACAGCAACTCATATTCTGCTTGGGAACCCTGCAGCCCAATGGTATCAATGTGGACTTCACAAGCTTCAAAATCTCCCCTCCCCCTACCGCATCCCAAAACCAGTCCAGCTCGTCCCTGCCTCCCTAACCTGTTCTTCCTCCCACCTATCCCCTCCTCCCACTTCAAGCCGCACCTCCATCTCCTACCGACCAACCTCATCCCGCCCCCTTGACCTGTCCGTCCTCCCTGGACTGACCTATCACCTTCCTAACTCCCCACCTACACTCACCTTTACTGGCTCCATCCCCGCCTCTTCGACCTGTTTGTTTCCTCTCCACCTATCCTCTCTTCTATCCGCCTCCCACTCTCTCCCTATTTATTTCAGAACCCCCTTCCCCTCCCCCTTTTCTGATGAAGGGTCTAGGCCCAAAACGTCAGCCTCTCTGCTCCTATGATGCTGCTTGGCCTGCTGTGTTCATCCAGCCCTGCACCTTGTTGTCTCAGTGTCTTTTATTCCTTGTTTATAACTTCCTATAGCAACTTTATTTCCAGTTTGTGTTTAATCCTTTTTGCGGATTGCAACTGGGACTGGGATCATCACATCAGGTATCGAACCATTTCGAGGAGCAGTTCTTATTCAGTGTTGATGCATGATTGTAGAAATCACCTGTTATTGGAGAAGTGGCATCACCCAATACCAACTTCAATCCAACTCACTTTACACAAAACCAATTCGGTCAATTCAACCCAATTGAATGCAGCCTGAAGCCCAAAACAGTATAACAAATTTATAAAAAGGCACTATCCATATTGGAGAGCTGATAAAAATGCAAAGGATAAACCATGGCTTCAGTTAAGGAATCAAACCATCTGCATGAAAAAATCTGTTTCTTCACAAAATTGGTTGAATAGACATTGGATAGTGGAAACACAAATTAGCAGAAACAGTTTTAAAAAAAATGTATGTGGATTAATTTTGAGGGTTATTTTGTCAAGTGCATGATTTATTTGTGTATTCGTTCTAGACCAGTACATCATAGTGTAACCAAGTGGCCAGGTGCTTTCTGGAATTGTTTATTGTGAGGGGATGTGCATAGAGGCTGTTACTGTGTGACCACATACTCCAGAGTTATCTTAAAGATTTCACATGTAAGTACTTTGTTTGCACAAGCCAGAAGCATTTTGGACACAGGAGAACTTGGGTTCAATCCTTGGTGAGTCTCAGGCTGACTGATCTGAGCATGTTTGATGCAAAGGATTTTACAATTTGCCTCAACTTCAGCGGAGAAAGAGGAAAAGCAGGACTCCAATCACTGTCCTGTATGTGCTGCTGGGGAATGTATGTGTAATTGTCTGTGAAGGTAGGAACAGGCTTGTTATGATGCATCCTATGGGTGAATGTTCCAACAACATTTTACTACCTGGGCTTAAACCTGAATTGTACAAAGTACTTGGAGAGTCAGTGGTCATTGATTGGTACAAAGTAACCTTCTGCTTTGGAAATGAAACAAATATGCTTTAGACAAAAACCACAAACCTGAAGTCTGTGTTTAGGGAGCCTGCAGTTTTGTGAGAAAAATATGAAAACACAATTTAGCCCCTGTCTGATTTATAGGGAGCTGTTTGTCCACCTCGATTGCCCATTCCAGCACCTAACCAATCAAAAGTTTGGTTTGGATTCCATGATTGACCTTTCACCTTTTTCAGCAGTTGATGAACAACTGATGGGAATTCCTGGCACTCTAGTCCTCTCCCACAAGTTAAGAGATTTCCCCCCCCCCCCACTCAGAAATATACAGCAGCTGAGTCAGCATCTGAAAGAATAAATACATTTCACCTAAGATCTGACGGTATGCTATTTAACACTTTTTGTTTTGTTTACAGCATTCTTTCTAACTTTTTGTCAATCCTGTATTACAGTTGATAAGTTCACGGCAATATTAATCCTTGTTAGTAAGATAGAGGTCAGATCATAATCTTGTAAGCTCAAAGAAAAGTCTACATTGGATGTAATTCTGCAATTGGGCAGCTCTTGCTGAACTATTAGTGTGTGCTATTGGCTGCATTTACAACCAATTTAAATTAATCAGTCACGCTCATACAGTGCATGTACATGAGCCACACTAAATGACATATTCATATACAGGCACCTGTTGAAGCTTTGCACTTATGCAGGAGTATGGGGACCTTGCAGTTTCTTTTTACTTTCTCCATGGCATTATCTCAGCTAGTTATGGATGATTTGCAAATCAATCAGCACCTGTTCTTTAGTTTAAATTGTTGTCATCATTTGAAATTTGGCAATTTTGCATTTTTGATGAGTCCAAAATGCAAAATTTTGGGAGCATGTTTCACTTCAGAAATATTCCAGTCCTGTCTACCATGCGACCATGCATAGAACTCCTTTTAAATGTACAATTCAAGTCAGTAATGCCTATGGTTTAGTGGAGCTGTCAATGCTGAAGCCTTGTTATTGTTCTTGATTCTACAACTTTATTGTTCAGTCTGACCCATCAACCCTGCTTTGTTTCCATTTATGGGGGAATAAAGTGGTAGCAGACACCGTTGGTGGGCACAGCGAGCACAAATCACCAAAAATCAAAATAGCTTGCTGGATCCATCGGTATATTCCTGTACAAACCTCCCAGGGCCCCATTCGGATCTGTTTTTATCTTTGTAATAAACTTTCAACCAATATTTTGGACTTTATATTTTGTAATTGCTGTTCATCATTTAAATCAAACAAGAAAACAAAGTGCTATCCAAAAAGACTCTGTTATGTAATCCCTGGTCTGGGTTTGACCACCTCTCAGCCAGTCTGGCAGTAGAGAGGGGATTAAATCAATCCCATCCCTTATCTATATATCTGTACCTGATGTATAGGGATGATGGGCAAGGATTGCATTGGGCTTCAGTATAATGCCCTGTACCATTAGTGCCATAATGTACTGCATTTGCTTGAGGATTAACCATCTGGGTAATCCTTGAGCCAGGGTGGGGAAGATTCCCAATAAAGTTCACTCCTAACCCAGGCACCAAAAGCAGTGCAAGACTGATCAGATCGGAGTACATCCCCAGGTACATTGAAACAGAGAGGATGTCTCTGAGGTAGTGTGAGCTGATGTTCTGGGATAGGGAAGTGGTTGGAATTTAGAACTCACTGCTTCAAAGCCTGGTGCAGGCAAATCCATTCATGGCTTTCGAAGAGGAATTGGGAAAAACAGCTGACAGCGAAAAAGAAATTTAAAATGTTGGGATGGTGAAAAGGCTGATGAGTGATATTAACTGAGCTGTTCTTGCTGTTAGCCATGTGAACATGGATAACCTCTTCCTGTTCAGATTCCTGATCTGAGAGACTGTACTATCAAGGTTCTGGAGCAATACAGTCCATGGTGGAAAATGGAAAATGAATCATTTGTTTAATAGCTGCTTTGGCTTTTCTAGTTTTTGCTCTCAGAATAAAAGTGAACCAGTCCAAGCAGAGCCAATCTTTAACCTTTCCCCAGCACTCTGTATAGTATTTAATTAAATGCCACCTGACCAGTGAAAACTGATTGGAGTAGCAGGTAAAAGGAGTTGCAGCTGAAGTGGCAAAAAAATTGTAAAAGCCAGACTTTATGAATCCAGTTTCAATTAACTGACAACATCAGGCTACCTATATCTCTGTGAGAATACTTTGTTGAGGGAGTGGTATAATAACAGGAGGAGATTGACTATATGGCATTGTTTGATGTCCTTCAGGTTGGAAATGCAGTAAGGTCTGATATTTTGATAAATAATTAGTGGTCATTAGGAATAATTTGTAAACATAGGAAGGTGGTCGTGGCTGTTGGAGGTCAGTCATTTCAACTCCAGGATGTCGTAGCAGGAGTTCCTCAGGGTAGTGTCCTAGACCCAGCCATCCTCAACAGCTTCATCCATGACCTTTCCTGTATCATAAGGGGAGATGTTCATGATTTCTCAGATACTGAAGCAGCCCATATCCAAATGCATCAAGACCTGGGCATTATCCAAACTTGGGCTGAAAAGTGGCAAATATATTTGTGCCACACGAGGCAGACAATATCCATCTCTCTTGAGAGAAAATCTAACATCACTCCTCACCATCATTAAATATCCCACAATCAACATCCTGAGAGTTACCATTGATTAGAAAGTGAAGTGGACTCACCCTATAAATACTGTGACTACAAGAACAGGACACAGACTAGGAATACTGCAACATGTTACTCACCTCCTGAGACCCCTGTCCACCATCTACAAGACACAAGTCAGAAATGAGATGGAATACTCCCCACTTCCCTGGATGAAACCAGTTACAAAATTTAAGGCTAATGTCATTCAGGACAAAGCCTGCAAAATTGACACTACAGTACAAACATCCTTCCAAAACCAACTCTCGGAAGGAACAGTGTATGAACTAGAGGGACGCAAGCAGCAGATATATTGGAACACCACCCCCTGCAAATTCTGCTCCAAACAACTCAACAGCCTGACTTGGAAATGTACAGCTGTTCCTTCACTGCCATTGGGTCAAAATCCTGAAGTGCCTTGGTATGGACAAAACCAAACCCCCTCAAAATATATTAAGAGGATAGCCTAGACCCTAACTCTTTCTTATTTTAAAGGCAAATGCCAGGCATTGCACTCTGGATGCAATTTGTTGGTTAAACTACCAGGCTTGAATCAAACCACACTTTATTCATACACTATAGTTAAAATACAACAAAAGAAAGAAGAAATTGGAATAACAACTCTACTGCAAAATGTAGAATAATAAGTTATTTAACTACTAAACAGTAACTGATCCAATATAGTTACATCCCATAAACACACTCTTGGCAAAGGCAAATTCTGTAAAATAAATTGTCTCACATGCAATTCCTCAGCCCAGGAGGAAAAACATTGAGAAAATTCTAAGAGAGAGCGCAGCAGGGAGAGATGTACTGTAGCTTCCAAACCCAGCTTCAAGACCCAGCAACTGCTACTGAAAAACTAAAACTAAAAATCCTGGTTTTGTGGGAGCTTGACCCCACCCATTCAGGCTGCTTCTACTGTTTCAACTTAAAAATCCCCAAGGCTTCACAAACTGTTTATTGGCTCTGAATATTCCAATTTTCACCTCTGTCTCAATCTTTCTTCTTAAAAAAAAACACATGACAAAATATACCTCTTAAAGCCATAGCATTGTCACACCCTCTTAACAGCATTGTGGGTCTATGTAGAGCAGATGGACTGCAGTGTTTCAAGAAGGCAGCTCACCTTCACCTTCTCAAGGGGAGCTAGGGATGGGAAACAAATGCTGGCCCAGACAGTGATGTCCATGTCCCACGAGTGTATTAAAAAAAGCATATGTTATAATTAATGAGCGTGTACAATAATATCAGTCAATGGATTACACTTTGATGCAGGAAAAAAATACATTGAGTTAAACTGAACTTTTAATGAAGATTGCTGCAGCTGCTGCTACACTTTGAAAAAGGATGAAGCAGTTTTTTACTGCACGATTCTTGCTGGTGATGTTTGGCCTCCTATTTGATAGGGTTGAGGACTTAATGTGAGATGACACAGTTCTGATGAAATGTATGACTGTCAGGAGGTGATTCACAGCTTTGAAATGTATTAGCTGACATTGAGAAGTGCTGAGACCCAGGTGTGACAGTTTGATATGAGTGCTGACATGAAACCTCACTAAACAATTCAGTCCATTTAACACCTGTGGCTCCATTTGAGAAACACGTCTTGTGTGTCACAAATAGTCTGAACAGGACAAAAGAAGCTTTGAAGTTGCAATGAGATGTAGGGGTGAAGGTTAACCATGAATATGAGTACTCACCATGGGTTTAACTCTTCCATTTGCCTTGGAGTTAAGCCATTATACAGCTCTGTGGTGCAATTGGATCAAATAAAGATGCAACATACAGGACAGGCACAACTGTGTCCTTTAATGGAACAATTGAGTTGCCTGAAAGACTGGTGGAAACATTCAGCGATCATTTTCAAAGAACATTGGATACACAAGGACCCAGCGCAAATGTAATGTCCTCCAGTTCTGAGAAATTCTGGAATATTGGAATATAAGAACAGAGAACCCCCAAACTGTTCTATCATTCATTGAGGTCATAGCTGAAAGTTTTTAATGTGTTCAGACACCTTTATCATTAATTGAATTTGAGTAATTTCCTGACAACAGATTATAAGTTACTTAGTTCATAATTCCCTGATTTACATCTGCCACTTTTCTTAAGTAGTATAGTGAGTTATATGACTTTTCAATCTAAAGGGACTTCCCAAATCAAGTGCATCTTGGATGATTACAGCATATCCATGATGTTCTCACCTATTTTTTTAAACTATGTGACTGAAACGTTCTCATTCTGGGGTCATTCTTTAGTGCCATGACTTTTCCACTATCATTATTTGATTCCCTTAATTTTGTGGCTTGAGAAGTTAACTTTTTGTTGTTACTGCAGAATCTTGCAGCAGTAGCAGTGCAATCATTTTAGAGCTGAGAGATTCATTAAGCATTTTTACCTAGGAAACATAAAACAATGGGGCACAATCATTTTTGAACTCTGAACTTAATGAGTCATTTCATTAAAATAATCTTGAAAACCATAATAGAAAAATAATAACGCATTTGGAGCAGAGATTAGTGAAACTTGATTTGGACCTGGAATAGGAATGAGAGGAACTATCTGACCTAAGAATGATCTTTGGTGAAACCTGGAACAAAACAAAATTATTGAAGTATGCTTTGTAAACAATGAAGGTGTTTTTGATGATGTTTATCACCAAACTTTAATAGCATTAATAGACATGTTGCTAAAGTGTGAAATTGAGACTAAAGATGAGAGATTTATCCAGAGCTTATATTGGGATCTATTAGTAAGCACCTGACTAGTTGATGGACAATCCAACGTCTCTCAGAATTACAACAAGGCTGTGCACTGTTGCTAAAATTATTCAGCCTGTACAGAGAATAAATATTCAGAGAATTGGATGTATTTCCAGGTGTAAAAATTGAAGGCAAGAACATGACAAACGTGCAGTATGCTAATGACACAGCACCATTGGCAGAATCAGAAGAGGACCTTAAAATATCGTAGATCAAATAAAATGCAGAAATTTTAAATATGGATTGAGTATGAACACCAAAAAGACTAAAACAATGGTAGTTAGAAAGAATACACTAAAAATAAAATAGTGAAAATTGGAGTGGATAGTGTTACACTGGAACAAGTTGGGATAGATTTGTTTATTTAGAACAAATGATAACAGAAGATGGCAGATGTGATGCAGAAGTTAGAAGAAGAATAGAAACAGCCAAAAGTAACTTTGTGAAGATGAAAGATGTGTTAATGACAAGAAAATTCAAACTTTTATCAAGGAAGTAAATTCATAAGACTATTTGTCTCAGAAACATGGACAATAAGTAAAGATCTGTGGAAGAAAATAAATGCTTCTGAAATGTGGATGCTAAGAAGACATACTAAAAATTTCATGTATAGGCCATAGACAAATTTAAAAAGATAAAATTGTAAAAGCAATACCAACTCCTAAAAAGTAACATGCTGTAAAGAAAATGTCAGTCTTTCAGCCATTTGTTCAGAGCTGAAAAGCTACAGCGATCACTTTTAGAGGACAAACTGAAGGCAGCAGAAAGAGAGGTCAACCTATGCACAGTTGGAAGACAGATAGCACAGAGA